AGACAAAGATGTAAGAGGGACAAAGTGGAGAAGGACACACCCGGGAACAAGGAGATTAAGTCTTGGTTTGGCGGAAAAGTTCATTCAGGTGTATGTTACAGAAAAATCCAAATGAAACCTATAAATGCATTTATAAAGTATGATGGCTTCAAATATCCCCCTTCCCCACCCTCTTCCTGTGGGACTGCTAGCCAAATGTCTGGAAAGCAGGAGGTCAGAATGTAGAAAATTCATCTATGGAGGAATTTGAGGCCCCAGAGGAATGCCTGTATGTACTGACATTTGGGCACTCTTCCCTTAAAAAGGCTGGGTTGTTGAGTCTTCATCTTAAAGTAAAGCCCTCTATTTCATTCTGGCCACCATCACTCATGCGCAGTGAAGTCCCATCAGGCTTTCAGTACCCCACCTTTAAATTCAAGAAACTGCTAAAGCTTATAAGCATTTAGGGAAAATCTCTTCTGTGAAACAAAAACAAAACAACAACAACAACAAAAACAGAAATAGCGACACTGAAGGAAATAGAGATAATGTAGGGAACAGAAGAAAACAAACTCAGTATTAATGTGCTTGCAAGATAAGTGATGCTTTTCCATCGAAACTAGAATCCATTACTGTGAAAAAAAAAAAAAGAATAAGATATACACCAAAAGCACAGGCAGGAAAAGGAAAAAAAAATGGATAAATTAGACTTGATCAAAAGTTTCATATATCAAATGGCACTATCAGAAAATGAAAAGAGAACCCATACAATGGGGAAAATATTTGCAAATCACATACCTGATAAGCATTAAAATTCAGAATATGTAAAGAATTCTTAAAACTTAACAAAAAATCCCAAACAACTCAGTTTAAAAGAAGTTCAAAAGGCATTTCTCCAAAGAAGATATACAAACAGCCAATGAGTTCATGAAAAGTTATCTAACACTGCAAATTATTAGGAAAATGTAAATCAAAACTATAATGTGATACTACTTCACATCTGTTAGGAGGGTTATTGTTTTTTAAAATATCAGTAAATAATGATGAATCTCTTGTGCATTTAGGAAGGTAAAATGGTGCTGCCACTGTGGAGAACATTATGACAATTCCCCCAAATTAAACAGAATTATCTCATGATCCAGCATCCACTCTGGGTTATAGACTCCTGACAACTAGAAGCAGAGACTTGAACATGTTTGTGCACCAGTGTACACAAAAATATTTGTATACCAATGTTCATAGCAGCATTACTCACAAGAGTCAAAGGGAGAAACAACTCAAATGTTCATTGACAGACAAAGGGATATATGTACAGTGGAATATGATTCAGCCTTAAAAAGGAGTGACATTCTGACACATGCTGTAACAAGGAAACATTTATGCTAGGGGATATATTACTAAGTCAGGGACAAAAGATTAAATATTTCATGATCCCACTCATATGGGGTACCAGAAAGTAGAATGTTGGTTTTCCAGGGCCATTGGGAGGGGGTGGGGGCATGAATGGGGAGTTATTGTTTAAAGGGGACTGAGCTTTGGTGTGGATGATGAAAAAATTCTGAAAATGGATAATGGTGGTGGTTGCACAACACTATGCATGTACTTGTACCACTGAATTACATATAAATGGTTAAAATGGAAAATGTTTTTATATTGTGGTTGCTGTTTCAGTTGCTAAGTCATATCTGATTTTTAGCAATCCCATGGACTGCAGCCCGCCAGGCTCCTCTGTCCGTGGGTTTTCCCAGGCAAGAATACTGGGTTGCCAGTTCCTCCTTCAAGGGATCTTCCCAACCCAGGAATCGAACCATCGTTTCCTGCATTGGCAGGTGGATCCTTTACTGCTGAGTCACCAGGGAAGGCCATGTTACATGTATTTTATCAGAATTTAGAAAAAAAAGAAAAGGAGAAAGAATGATAAGAAAGAGATCATGGAAATTAAAACTAGGACACCCCTTCTTCTAATATTTTATTAGAAAAATTAGAAGAGAAGATAGGAAATATCCCCCCCCCCAAAAAAAAATAAATAAATAAGAGGACAAATGGAGGAGAAGAAATGAAGATCTAGAAAATTATAGATTGAATTAGGAAGTTTTGTGTCTAACTCCCAGGAGTTCCAGAAACAGAAAACAGAGTGCATACAATCATGAAAGGATTAATACAAGAAAATTTCCCAAAACTGAAGGGTGTGATGTTGTCTAGATTGAAAGGGCCCGTGATGGACTCAAGAGAAACACACCAAGGGCTGAAGAAAAGTCTGCACAGGGCACAGTGTTGTGAAACTGGGGTAATGAAATGACCTGAAAAGACTTCAGAAAACATGTCACACACGAAGGACTGGAAGGGGGACAGCATTGATGTCTCTGCAGTGACACTGAGAGTTTGGAAACACAGATCACAGGGGCAAATTCTAAAAATTGGGTAAGAATGTGCAGGTAACCTTGTTGCAGGCTGCGCTGAATCCTTGTAAGATTATTTGTTCCCTAAGGCCCTCCTCTGTTGGCCTGTCAGACTAAGAAAGGGTCTTTGCCATCACTTTATAAAAGGCGTTTTCAGTTCCCTTTTCTTAAATTTCAGCTTTATGGAGGTGTAACTGGCATAAAGAGCTGTAAGATATTTAGAGCATCATTGTGGGGATTTGATGTGTGGGTACCTGGGATCATCTGCTCCCAGGACAGCATGAGAGTCTGTCCCAGAAGGGGAGGAGTCCAGAGAAGAGACAAACGACTCAGCTTCCTTTCTTTATTCTCCTGGTTTTGAGGCCCTGGAATGTCCTTGGCCTCTGACTTCCTATTTTTGGGTTTACTCTCTCCTTTGGCAGAGTTCATCCACCAATAGCTTCCTAGGGAAATGGAAAATTTGAGGCCCTATGTGCCAGCAAAGCCTTAGTTCTACCTTGAAATTTACTGGACAGTAAATCACCTAAGAAACAGAGGACCCCAAGGTAAATCTGTCCGAGGAGGGTAGGTGCTCAGTTAAGCATCTCTGAGGGAGCCTGTGCTGTGTCCATACAGAACTGTGGATGCGGGGAGAGAGTGACATGGACACACATATAGGTGTGGCAGAACTACTGGAACGTCTGGAGAGGAACTGGGATCCACACAAGCAAAACTGGACAATGAACTAAATGGAGTGATTATTAACCCCTGGAAAAGAAGTGTGTGCGAAAGGAGTATTGACCTGTGTGCTAATCGGCTCAGTGTGTGAAAGTCACTCAGTCTTGTCTGACTCTTTGCGACCCCAGGAACTGTAGACCCACCAGGTTCCTCTGTCTATGGAATTTTCTAGGCAAGAATGCTGGAGTGGGTTGCCATTTCCTTCTTCTTCCTGACCCAGGGATTGAACCCACTTCTCCTGCACTGCAGGCAGATTCTTTACCATCTGAGCCACCAGGAAAGCCCGAGGGGCTCAGTAGTGAAGGATAATTGTATATTGATACCTGGTTGACTACTGATAAAACTCAATACTGTGATAAACCTGAGTTGGGAGGGTGGAAAAAAGCAGCAGGGATGGGAGGGGGTCGGGTGGTGAGAGGTAGACTCTTATACACCATGGTGGGATTTAATAGTTAATGTCTAAACTGACAAACCAAGAATTAGAAATAGCAATATATTATTTAGAAATGTGATTGTAAACACTTGAGGGAAATCAAAAGAACTGATTATAGTTAACTCTGGGGACCATGCCTAGATCGTTTGATTGGATTTTTTTGAAAGCTGTGTGTGATGCAAACATCTGTGTTTGATAAAAAATGTAAATTAACCAGCATATTCTCAATTTATGAAGATCTGTGAAATAGAAAAGTTCTTAAAAAGATAAGGTTATATGATTTGCATATTAAAATAAGAGATGTGCTTGTATGGGTTGAGCCTCTGAAAGACTTCCGCTGGTTGCTCTTGTATGGAGATGGTTCACCAGCCCTGTGGTTCACCAGTGACTACCACAGCCCAGGACACCAGGACAATCACAGTCCCCTCAGTAGTTCATTTTGGAATTTTGAAATTTATAATCAATCATCTCTTTTGTTCTCTTCTCTCCCACTTTTCACTTCTGATATTCCATGATCTCATAGGGTCACTCAGGTACGTGATGGTTGGGGGGCCAAGCTCATTTCAAGGATAGCACCAGGTACCTGGCAATTCTGATTGCAAGTCTCCTGAGGGCAGAGACTTTGAATTATTCAATTAAATACACACTTAACTGAATCTCTATTGAAGGCATGATCCTTGCACTAGATAAACAAATATGAGCAAAGTAGCATCCTTGATGTCAAGGCAGAGATGGTCATGGTTACTCATAATGCCAAAGCTAGACATTTAAGGTATTTTAATAGACAAATTGGGAAGAAGACTTCCTACGTGGTGCTAGTGGTAAAGAACCCGCCTGCCAATGCAGAAGATGCCAGAGACAAGCGTTCGATTTCTGAACCGGGAAGATCCCCTAGAGGAGGGCATGGCAACCCACTCCAGTATTCTTGCCTGGAGAATCCCATGGACAGAGGAGCCTGGCAGGCTGCAGTCCACAGTGTCGCACAGAGTCGGAGATGATTGAAATGACTTAGCATGCATAGAGACAATGTCTTAGCCTCAGTTCTTTACCTAGGGGTGCTCTTCCAGGGAGTCCCTTGCCTGGAACAGTCTGTGGGCATGGGTATTTGGGGTGGGATGGCTCTGGCCTGTCTTGTCCCTCATTAATCAAAATTTGCCCTAGGCAGGACATCACCTGCACTGCTGACCTTTAAGCAGGCGAGATCCTACCCTGTACGGGGAGCAGCTTAGAGTCTGGAAGGGACAGGAGAAACAGGCCCTCAGCGGGGCTGGTCAGGGGAGGCCAAGGACTGGGCGCCAGACGCTGCATTGAACTAACAGCTGAGGTCGGGACTTGGGGAGTGGACTGTGGTGGAGGAGGCAAGAAAACCTGGTTTAGTGCAAGCACTAACCCACTCCCAAGCAATCCTACCCTCTGAGCTTGCAAACAGCTTAGCTTGTAAATATTAGCAATTCTGATTGTTGGCCAGGAAGTGTGATGTCATTTTTTTATTTTTTAGTCTAAATAAAGGAAAACAAGATCTCTCTCAGATCAAAGCAAGTAGTCTTGGCAGATGAGTTTATCAGAAGATTGTAAGCTCCCGGAGTGTTTTTTTCTCTTTGGTCCTCGGACGAGAGAATCAATACATTCCTGTTGATTTATTAGATGAACAGACCTTATGGGGAAAAAAATAAAATAAAATTATACAATCTGGATCGGCTATTCTAAAACCTTAGTGTCCCCTGGATGGGAGTTTGGTTTTTTAAGCAAGTTCAAGGTGATCCAGGTGTGGGTGGTTTGTGGACTAAAATAAGAGCAACACTGCTGAAACCTGGGGGTTTGTGGCCATATGGATGTGACCTGTAGAAGGTCACACTTTATGTTTACTTGCAGCGGGGCCACACCTACCGGGCACAGCTGCAGATACCACATTTTCCTTCCTATCCGTGAGGGGTCGGAGCAACATTTGCTACAGAAAAAGGAACTTGATCACAATGGTAACAAATAACTTGTAAACAAGCAGAGTATAGAACTGTCTAAACAGTGTGTTTCCAGCAGTCCCATTTTGGGCTCGAGAGTCCCATTTCTCTCCCTAATAACCCCATCCCCTAGGATTGAACTTCATAAGCATTTCTTAGGCACTGACTTTGTACCAGGCTCTATGCCTCGTTCTGGAGACGAAAGGTATTTAAGACACAATGTTGTTCAAGCCTTAAAACCTTCCACTGCATTGGCACTTCCTGTGGGGGGAAAATGCGGCCTTGTCCCCTGTGAATCCAGTCGCCAGACACGTGCATGTGAAATAAGCAATGGTGAGCAGGTGAAGACTGCTGAGGTGTGAACCTGGGAAAACCACTCTTGTTCATCTGAGACAGTGAGACACTTTGTTGTTTGCTTCACTTCAGAGGGAAGGGATGGCCATTCTTGCCTGGGGGCTCTGAGCCTGTGGGTCACTTTGACACAGAAGCAGCCTTGGTGTCCAAACTAGGTGATAAGGCCTTTGAAGACAACATTCCACAGTTATCTCAACTTGGCAGTTTCCAAGGAAACAGGACCCTGAGTCCACTTAGCACTGCTGGTAATCAGACTGTGATGTCCCCAACACAAGCTAAATAGAACAAGTTTCTGATGGGACCCAGCTGAGGCCACATGGGGTGCCTCCCAGGGCAATACCACAGCTGGGAAATGATGAGTGACCTCCCTTCTCAGAGCAATCACTGCTTTTCTTACCTAATAACAACGTTCCCAATGATTGCCTCAGCCCCACTTCATCCTCTCTCCCCCGCGTGATGAGTACTGCTCTGCAGGTTTCTAAACTGCCTGCAGCCTGGCAGCCTCCACTGCAGAGCAGTTCCCTCTCCCCCAGTCTCTCTTTAAATCACTTTGCACCATCCCACCTTCCCTGTGATGAGCTGTCCCACACTCTGCGGTATTTGATCATCCTTGATGTAGCAAGTTATAAACCTAAATTTGTTTGCCTGCTGGTGTGTCCATGGTGGTCTTTATCTGATGGGTTTTATCAAAGGTTGTGTGTACGTTTGTATGCACGTGCATGCATGCTCAGTTGCTTCAGCTGTATCTGACTCTTTGCAATCTCATAGACTGCAACCTGCCAGACTCCTCTGTCCATGGGATTTTCCAGGCAAGAATACTGAAGTGGGTTGCCATTTCCTTCTCCAAGGGATCTCCCTGACCTAGGGATTGAACTTGTGTCTCCTATGGCTCCTACATTGGCAAGAGGATTCTTTTACCACTGAGCCACCTGGGAAGCCCCTTATCAAAGGGCAAGGGCTGGCAAAAGTGAGATTCTTTCCTTCCCATGGCTCACTGGCAAATGTTTTACATGATCTCAGATAAGAAAGGAAAAGGAAAGAGCACCGATTCGTAGTGTTTGCCTATTTGTGTGGTGGAAATATTCTCACTTGGGTCAATTTCAAGCTACTGATATGACTTCACTGAATGCTGAGTTGGGAAGAGACCCACGTACTCAGCTTTTGGTGGATTCATACCAGTGGGATCAAGCACACCTCGGCCACCTTCTCACCCGTCTTCCTCAAGCAGCAACATAGTTTTTGCTCATTAAGTTTTCCAGATTTTGTTTCCCGCTGGAGTAGCATATGATTTTTTCTTTCCCTGCATTTGGGTAAGGAATCTGGCACCTGCTGATTTATAAGCAAGTCCTGAGAAATGTCATGACTGAAATAAAAACTCATGGACAGTGAACTCACATATAAAAGCAGGCCAACAGCAAAGAACCCAGGGTTTTAGAGACCAGTAAACACACAGTTGGGCTTCCCTGGTGGCTCAGCTGGTAAAGAATCCGCCTGCAACATGGGAGACCTGGGTTGATCCCTGGGTTGGGAAGATCCCCTGGAGAAAAGAGAGGCTACTCACTCCAGTATTGTGGCCTGAAGAATTTCATGGACTATATATAGTCCATGGGGTTGCAATAGTCGGACACGAATGAGAGAATTTCACTTTCAACACACATTCACGTGTCCCAGTCAGGTGCCTCACTGAAGGTGGTTTTCTGGCCAAGGTAGAGGGCAAATGATTTCGTCCTGGAGGAGAGAAACATCTCCTCTTAAGATAGCAACCCCAGTTCACCTTCCTTTGGCCTAAATTTAATCTACCAAACCTATAGCAAGACCTGCCTTTTTTCTTTTCTTTTTTTTTAAATTCTACAAAGAAAACGATCTTTGCGGAATACCCAAGGAGTAATTATAGATAATGGTCCACGATCTGGCAGCTTACAAGTTCAGCCACTTGGCTGAGAAATGTATTCCCTGTCTGCTACTACAAGACCTCATTATGTGCTGCACTGGTGAATTCATAATGAAAAGACTTAAAAAGTGTCTGATAGCAAAAGAAGCTCCTTTCTTAGCTTGACTGGCCTCCAGAGCAGCGCCCTAGGGAACTCAATGCAAATTTCCAACAAGATTACCAGCAGCTTCTTATCATCCCCTTGGAATGCTGGGAATGTGGAAACTGTGAAAAGCCCACAAAGATGGAAATACCGTGGTTAAAGGGAGAAAAAGAGAAATTTTCAGTTTGATGAAGAGAAAGAAAATGGTTTAAGGTAGGCTGAGAGAATTGGTATTATTTTTCTAAAAAAGCATAAGCCCTTTTGACAAGATTACAAAGAAAATAGATCTCACGTTAAGTCAGTACTTTGCTCGACACATCTACATAGTATCTTGTGTTGAGGGTACCAAATAAAGTTCACCATCTACCGAGGGAGAGAAGTCGTCAAGTCAGCCACTTATTTCTTTGCTTTCAGACTCAATCTTAGACTTTTCCCTGACAGCTGTGTCTCTGAGCCAGGCTCTCTGAGTCACTGGCTTCAGGTCAGTTTCAAGGTGGTAGGAGCACCAGCAGTAGAATGAAAAATGGAAGATGCTAGGATAGCCATCCCCATTTGTCTCTATTTTGGGTGGTGACTCAGGGGTGCCAGCTCTCATGGACCAGATCTGGCTAGGTAGCCTTGGTTTCTGAATTCTGAGAGCAGTTATTTTTCCTTCATTCCTCCAGCCCCACCCAGCAGGTAGCTAGCAGCTGTCCAGTGTCATTACAATCTGCATTGCTTCATTGTCCCCTCTTGAGCTTGTCAACTCTCTCAATACCTTTGTAACTAGTATATTGCACTGAAGTCTTGGAATGTTCAATTCCTATTGAACTTCCTAGAGTGACCTTGATTTAATTATCTACAGGTTGACCTACATAGATAGTGTAAACAAATAGTTATAGCTTATGTGATGTTGCTAGAAGTGGTCTGTGCTTATGCTATGGGGACCTAGAGTGGCTCTCTCTCATTTATGGGGACCAGGAAGGCTTATCCTAAGTGGAAAATTTGAAAATGAGCTCCGAAATTGAGTTGGAAGTTCTGAGGCAATCAGTCAAGGAGGATCAAGCAGGAGGAGAGAGAGTATTCCAATTGTTTGCAAAAAGCAAGGCAGGGTGACAGGGGATAGTGTTCTAGAGGAATGTCAAATAATCAGAAATTTTTGAAGAATGGGTCAGGCACAAAGCACATAGCTTTCTTGGAGGTTACGATTTGGTTTCTAGTCCTTTTTTTTTCTTTTTTCTAAAAAACTTTTGGCTATCCCCTACAGCTTAAGTGACCTTACTTCCCGGATCAGGGATCCAACTTGCATCCCTTGCATTGGAAAGCAGAATCTTAACCATCGGACTATTGGAGAAGTCCCCAGATTCAAGGTTCTACGACTGCAGATGTAACTACTGCCACAGAAGCCTTCAATTTCCCAGGACTCAGAGGATGGGAACAACCACGTGGGAAACAGCTGGAAAAGTCACTACCGTGCACTGACTCTTATTCATTCTACCAATCTGAAGGATCATTTGTCTAGCTGGCACCCACTGGACCCACCCAGTGGAGGAACTTTAAACTATGTGCTTAATGTGATATCAATATTACCTAAAGTCTCTAAATTGCAAGGCACTCTCATTGAAAGTCAGATAGTGACTTCCTGGAAGATTCACTTGCTTGCCTCCATTTTATCAGGGTGTGGGTGGAGAGGCAGAAAGAGAATTCCCAACTCATTGCTTGCAAAGAGCCCAGGGTACATCTGTTAAATCTCTTTCTTTCGATTACAGCAAAAAATGCCTAAAATTTAATTTTTATTTCCTCCCCAAATATACACATACCAAAGGCAACTGTGGCCTTTCTGCTGGGGGAGGTCACAGATTTCAGTTTGGGAAACATATGTTGCAACCTGCCACTGACACCATAGGATTAATGCAGAAGGATCCTCTTGATTCAAGGGTGATATTTACATTTCTATGCCATAAAGCGTCTTTATTTCCCAGCAGAGTGAATTTTCAAAGATGATTCTCATTCACTCATGACTTAATACTTCCCTACAGCTTGGTGAGGCAGTTGAGGCAAACGGAGAGGGTGCAGTTACTTGCCAGAGAGCTTCTAATAGACTCCAATCAAGACCAGGGGTGGCATTTAGGTCTCTATTTTTGGCACTTTCCACAGTCTTTGTGGGGATGGGATGGCTGCTGTCATAGCAAGTTTAGGCGCTGAAGAGTTCCAGGGCTAACATTCCATTAAAAAACACAGAAGCTACCTGGTTGACTCTGGTTCTCCCTTAGACTACATTTAGGAGGCCATGTTCAAAGAGAGATGTTCAACCTGAGACAGAGCCTCCAAGGCTTTCCTTTCTCACTACCAACCACCTGACCCCAAGAGAAATGCCCTTCTGACCCCTACTGGCTGTGGTGACACATGCACTGAGCAAGCACAGAGAATCATTTGAGAGCTGGTGTCGGAAATACTCTCCCAAACACTCTCCCGCTATGATTGGACGAGAAGGTTAAACATAGGAAAGCTTGACTCAGTCCTGATTAAACATGCTGGGAAGACAGAAACAAATAATCACCCAGTATATAGCAATAATGGAGCAACAAAGTAAATATTAAGGCAGAGGCTTGCTATCAATATTTAACTAGCAGATTAATGTACAGAGGACCACTTTGGAGAATAGGAGGGTGACCAGAGAGGCAGAAATGGCTCAATTATGATACACTGTCACAGCCTGGGAAGAGGTAGGGGCTGCCTGCATTGTTTAACCTGAGGTTACCAGTGCACACCAGAGGTAATCAAGGGTGATTAAGCAGGGGGAGGATGATGCGAGATAATTCTAGGCTCATTAGCATAAAGAATTTGTTGCGAGTATGCTGTAAATTCTGGCTGAGATTTCATCCCTATGATTCCTGCATATCTGTGTCTCCCTCATCAAAAATTCTCTTAGGTTTTTTCCGTCCTTTATTTGCTCAACTAGGACAAAGAATCTTAAGGACCACTTTGCATCTTGGGGCAATGCTTCCAACTACGACTTAACCTAATATTCCTCTCTTGTGTTCATGCAAACAAATCTATTTCTTAGCCTATTACTTTCCAACCACTTCTCAGAATGGGGAATCTGTCTAAGTACTGCACACAAGATATTTTTCATGGTAAGTGTGGACCTTTTGAATTAAAGACTAAAGTGTGTATTAGCATATCAAAGCAGCTGTGATTCTTAAAGAAGGATGTAGTTGTATATAGCATTTCCTGAAAACATTAGTCCCTCAGAACCGTTTTTATGGGAGCATATTAAATAACCAAGCTTCCATGGAAGGCTTTTGATGAAGGGCTTTTCCCTCCTGTTGTCTTCCTCGGTCATCCCACCAGTTTCAGTTACTGGGTTACCTCTACAATTATTTTGTTCCTCCTTCCTTCGTGTTTGGGGTGAGATGGCCACCAGCTGATTTTCTAGGATCTTTGTAACAGGAGTGAAAATGCCTGAGGAGACCCCATCCTCAAATGTGCACACTCTGGAGCCTTCCCCAGAGCACTGAACACATGAATGTACTTTATCCTTAGAAGTTAGAGTAACATGCAGACACTTTAGCACTTAATAAATTAAAAAAAAAAAAACAAAAACCCTGTTCCTCAACAGGAAATGACAAATTTCAATCCCACTGGGACTGCATTATATTCTGATACCATTGCTCCAAAGCTAATGAAATGTGAACCTCTTGGAGGCCAGGAATGCAAATGATCACCTCTTCATGATTTAATACTTTAACATCTATGAGTTTTCTCCTGGCTCCCTCTGGCATCTTGTTCTCCACTCCATTCTGAGTCTCACTAAGAATTTCTCCAGAAGCTGCACAGAAACAGGGATGTTTGGTCCTTGAGGCAGGGATTCATGCATCAGGAGATTAAAACCAATGAGAGAGAATTTCAGGGGTCAGGTTTCTCTAGAAAGAGCTCTGTTTCATTCCTGTCTTGGCTACTATGGATGAATTCTGCCAGTAATTCTGTTCTCAAAACTATTTTGTTCTTTATTGTTATTTATTAAACCTGTAATGATGCTAGTTTGTTCAGCCATTTGGCTTAAGTTTGAAAGTCCTATTTCTGTCATATCCTGTTATTTTATTTTCTAAGTTTTTGCTTATTCATATTCTATATATAACATCAAATAATTGTTGTCGTTTTGGTTTCTTGATTTATGTTTTCTCCTAGATTGTGTTATTTTTTTTCTATGATGTTTTTGTGTTTTCTGTTATTTATCTGGTGCCCAGATGCTTCTCTTTATCCTGTTTACGCTTGGACCACTAAGCCTGGACCATATCTTTGCTCTGACAAAGAATGGCTAACTCTTGACTTTCTCCTCACTCTGTCTGACGTACAGTGTGAGCAAAATGAGAAAAGAGGGGGGCAAGATCATCTTGGTGGTTGGTGTCTTTGTTAGCGAATCTGGGCTCAATTTTAAGATTTTGTTCAATGTTCTAAATTCAACATCTAATCAGTTATTAGATGTTATACTGGCTTAGCCACAAATGTCAAAGCAGCAGTGATTTAAACAACATAGAAATTTGTATTTCTCTTGGAGAAGGGGACGACAGAGGATGAGATGATTAGATGGAATCACAGACTCAATGGACATGAGCTTGAGTAAACTCCGGGAGTTGGTAATGGACAGTGAGGCCTGGCGTGCTGCAGTTCATGGGGTCACAAAGAGTCAGACACGACTGAGCAACTGAACTGAACTGAACTATGTAACTAACTGAACATAAACCATCTGGGTTGGTGGCACAGACGTGTCAGGGACTCTGAATTCTACCTGCTTGTCAATCTGTCTATGCCCTATGGTGGTACTTGGTGGTGGTACTTGGCTTTCACTGGTACATCCACAGGCAGGCAATGTGAAGGGAAAAAGATCAAGGAAAGGGCATAATTACTGTTTTTTAAAGATAGGAACCTGAGGTTTCAAGCATCACTTCCTCTTCCATATGACTGGCTCGATTGTAGTCACAAGGGCACAGAGTAGAGAGGCTGGGAAAGGGAGTCTTTCTCCCGGGAAGTCAGATGGTCAGGTGAAACAGGAATTCTATCACTAAAGGAGGATTTCCCTTGTGGTTCAGCTGGTAAAGAATCTGCCTGCAATACAGGAGACCTGGGTACAATCCCTGGGCTGGGAAGATCTCCTGGAGAAGGGGAAGGCTACCCACTCCAGTATTCTGGTCTGGAAAATCCCCTGGACTACATAGTCCATGGGGTCGCAAAGAGTCAGACAAGACAGCGCGACTTTCACTTTCATCACTAAAGGAAGAAATTAAAGAATGAGTTGGTTCTGCCGCACCAAATTTCCCATCCCCTAATGGGGGGATGTAATTTATTTCCAGGGAGGGAATATACATTCACACATCAGAAAGCAGAAGTGTCACAAATCCTAGCAAACTCTTCCCCAACACAAACGGTCCTTCACGACAGACACACGTCAGAACCAACTGGCAATGCCCAAATAGCACTTTGTCTTCACAAAAGGTCCTCGAAGTCAGACACACATCAGAACCAACTAGCCAAATACCCAAACATGGAGCACTTTGTACTCAAAAGAAGTTAGCCCATTTGCACACCAGTGGACTGACTGACTTACTGCGTCTTGGAGCTTGTCAGCTTGTCCAGACGCATGTTTCCGTCCCACCGAGGAAAAGCGTAAGTTAACAGCCAGTGCCGAGCAGAGGCGAAACAGGGAGGATCCTCGAAGGAAATGGTTTCAGCAGCCACTAGGAATATCCCCCCAAACCCCTCTCCTTGGGACAGGCAGCCATGAGCAGCGGCTCCTCACAGCCACCCTGGTGCACCCTGGTGCGACGTTACTCGGGAAAATCCTGGGAGCCAGATGTCGCGAGAGCCCCACGGCGGGAGCCAAAACCCCGACCGGGAGTGGGGATTCCGCTCGTCACTCTAAAGCCGATAAAGAGGCGGAGTTGGTAGAAAGGACAGTTTGCTTTATTTCAAAGGCTGGCAACCTGTGCGGGGGATGGGTGGGGGAGGGCAGACCTCTGTCCAAAGGCCAGCTCCCCCTGACTGACAATCACAGGGCAAGAGCGATTTTAGCGATGGAGGGAGGAAACAGCACAGTCGATTCTGACTGTCATCTTGAAATTGGTCACGGGGTGGTCTGATCAGTGTCGTCTTAATTGTTTTAAGTACAGTTAACCTTTAGTTACACAGTTAATTTGTTCCCATTTCTCTGAGTTCAGTTCTCAGAACTGTGGCTGCTTCTGTCATGGTTACAGTCTGACCATCATGTCGTTAACCTCTTTCAGCTGGTGGGGGTTTCAGTATCTATCAGACAGTTTGCAAGATATGGCTCAGAATATTATCTGTAGCCTTTGAGGAGGAACTAAAGGTCCCTGACATTGCTTAATGACCAAACTATTATTACTTGGTCTCATTTGAGTGTTTTCCTTTGTGTATTTTCTCAATTCTCTGATTAAACTTATTGTTTGGCTGAAGTTTTTCTACATATAAAAGGTAAGCTGAAGACAGGAGTTGCAAGGACCATAGGGTCCTGCTCTGTTTCAGCAGGGTGTGAAAGAAATTTTTAAGAAAAAAACTCGATATATGAACCCTCCAAGTTCTTGCTCCAGAACAAACTTCTGGTAGGCTAAACCTGCCCTGAAATTTTCCCCCCATTTTCCATTTCCACTGAAGTTCTCTTTTTCCAACCAATCACCATGGCTCCTTCATTCAACAATGCTTATTTAGGACCTATAGTGTGACAGGAGCTATTCTATGTGCTGCGGAAACCGCAGAGAACTAAATACACAAAAGTCACTGTCCACGTGGAATTTGCATTCTGTTAGTATTAGTGGGGCTTCCCTGGGACCCCTGGTGGCTCAGATGGTAAAGAATCTGCCCGCAGTACAGGAGACCTGGATTTGATCCCTGGGTCAGGAAGATTCCCTGGAGAAGGGAATGGCTACCCACTCTAGTATTCTTGCCTGGAGAATTCCATGGACAGAGGAGCCTGGCGGGTTACAGTCCAAGGGGATGCAAAATGTTGGACACGACTGAGTGGCTAACACTCACTTTTTTTCACTTTTCAGTATAGATGGATAATAAAATAAGTGAGTAAGGTATATAGTAAACAAAAAGGTGATGATTTATATGGAAAGAAAAAATAGGGAGCAGATATGGGATTGCACTCTGGGTATAATTTGACCTGTTTTTAAAAAAAAATTTTTTTGTTATTTATTATTTTAAAAAATTATTTATTTACTTTTGGCTATGCTGGGTCTTTGTTGCTATGTATGGGCTTTCTCTAGTTGTGGTGAGAGGGGGCTGCTCTATAGCTGCAGTGCATGGGCTTCTCATTGCTGTGGCTTCTCTTGTTGCAGAGCATGGGTTCTAGGCTATGGGCTTCAATATTTGTGGCGCATGGGTTTAGTTGCCCTGCGGTGTGTGGGATTCTCCCAGAGCAGGTATCAAACCTGTGTCCCCTGCATTGACAGGTAGATTCTTAACCACTGGACCACCAGGGAAATCCTGTACCTCAGCTGTTGTAACCTCAATTCATAAGATTGTTTTAAGTGTTAGTAGAAACATCCAGTAAAGTCTGGTACACAGTAAGCATACAGAAAATTGCAGTGGTCGTGTTGATAAGGAGTTAAGAAGTTTTCATAGAGTAGATTCAATAATGCACTTGCTGATTAGCTGAAGCACTCACATCTGTTGTCCGAGCTCTGGGTGCTTAGGGAACAGGGACCAAAACCAAGCTGGGTCACTGTGTGGATCTCTCCAAACACCCAAACTTTCTAATAAATACAGGAAATAAATCAAAAGGATGTTATTTGGATGACAGAGTATTTCTTCTCATAATTCATTGGAACTTAGGTAGCTTGAATATACATAAAATTAAAAGATGACCTAAGAAATATTATGTCTAAGATTCTAGATATAAGGTCTTTTTAGATAGAAGGCATGAATAACAGCAGAAATTTTGAAAATGATCTGAGGGTAATGATCGAATCTGCTTTAAATAGAATCACATATTCAAAGTCCAAGAAGCAATTTAGTCAATTTTGAAATTTTTCAGAAGTTGGATGAAATTAGAGCAACGATAGCCTAATAAGCCGTGGAATGGCTTCCCGACAGGATTACATCAAGATCATTAGTGTTGCCAGCACCACCTCTCTGCAAAATGTTGATGGAGCCTTGAAGAGGGTGTTAATTAACTCACATTAAAAGTGATGGGCAGGGGAGATGCTCACATCACTGAAAGGAGCATCCCAGAGACCAGACCTACTCTCTATCCTGGCAAGTTGTCTCATTCAAGCTGCTGAAGGGTGAGGCTCTGTTATAGTACCATCACCAGAGAACAGGTCCATTTCAACCCAACATTCTGTCAGAGCAAGAGATTTCCAACTCTATTAATAGGGCAGTGATGGGGAACACATGTAAGTCCATGACTGATTCCTTTCAATGTATGGCAAAACCCACTACAATATTGTAAACTAATTAGCCTCCAACTAATAAAAATAAATGAAAAAAAAAATAGGGCAGTGATATTAATAAAATTCGGTCAGTTGGTAAAGAATGTGCCTGCAGTGCAAGAGACCCAGGTTTGATCCCTGGGTCGGAAAGATCCCCTGGAGGAGGAAATGGCAAACCACTCCAGTATTCTTGTCTGGAAAATCCCATGGACAGAGGAGCCTGGTGGGCTACAGTCCATGGGGTCGCAAGAGTCATACATAACTTAGTGACTAAATCACCTTTGGTTATGAATGTTACACATTTATTGAACTCCTACATCATAATAGGTACCATTCTATATGGTCTAGAAAGACCATCTTTCTGTATAGAAAAACCTTCTCTTGGGAGTCACTGGGCAGCAAAACTATTACCCTAGAGTTTCTTGCTTATTTGTAATAAGGACCCCAAGAAACAAGATTAGAAATTATTGAAGCAAGATTAAATTGGGTTCAACCTAGGTTCACTATTTAGGATTTTAGAGAAGAAGATAGAATTGGCTCATGGGACCTTTATTTTACCATTCAGGATTTTACCATTCATGATTTTAACACAAATCAGGATTTCGGCACCTTTGGAAAGCAGTAAACTGTGTGATGAATGAGGCAACTTCTTTTGAACAGAAGGATTTGGCTCTTCACAAATGGGTCCTCCTCCTTTCCTCCTGATCACACTGATGAGTAACACAGTGTTTGCTTTGCGCTGCGTGTGTGCTAAGTCGCTTCAGTCATGTCTGACTCTTTGCGACCCCATGGACTATAGCCCTGCAGGCTCCTCTGTCCATGGGATTCTCCAGGCAAGAACACTGGAGTGGGTTGCCATGCCCTCCTCCAGGGGATCTTTTCAACCAAGAACTGAACCCAAGTCTCTTACATCTCCTGCATTGGCAGACGGGTTCTTTACTACTAGTGCCACCTGGCAAGTCCCATTTGCTTTTCTTTATAGCACTTTAAATGTTTCATCAAGCAACATACTTCATGAGCCATTATCTCTTCCTCTCAGAGAAGTCCACATGTAGGGTCCTCACCAGCAACATGCTTCTAGGCTCAGTGAGTGAGATTTCCAATTTTCTAATTTTACTGTTTTCCAGGCTGCTCAGACTCTTTGGTAAAGTGCTTTGAGAAATCTGCAGGTGTGTTCCCTGTCTTGGAGTGTCCTGAAACCACCAAGTAAACTCTGGAATACCTGGCATAGTATACCTGCAGGCTGGTCAGTGCTTCTCAGACCCAAATGGATGGGCATGTGAGTCATCCAGGGATCTTGTTAAAATGACTTGGTGTGTCTGGGGCATGTCCTGAGACTCTGCTTTTCTAAGAGACTTTCAGGGGATGCTGCTACTACTGGCTTGAGTAGCCAGGCCCTCTTTGGGCACTTCTCACGCTCATACAGGCAGGGTTATGGTGTGATAGGAGGAATGGAAGGGGAGATGAGACCAGATCCATCCTGGATTCACCCTTCAACTTGCTAAACTTTGGATTCCTCATTTATAAAGAGGAATAATGACAAAGCTTAGCTCCCGGAGCTGCTGCGAAAGTAGAATGTTCTCAATATAAAGAAGTATAGCATCATCACCATAGAAGTTTCCCATGGAGTTTATTCCTTCTTTCCTGAAATGATATAATTGGTTCACCAGATCTTTACAGCTGTAAGTGACTTGTATATGATAATATGATGCTCTTATTTGTATCACTTCGCAATGTTTCTTTGGAATAATGCCAGAGATCACACGGGTCTCATTCACTTCTTGGTGCTAAGTTCTACTTAGTTCGAGGTTCCTTTCCCTCTGGCTTCTCAACCTGTGAGCTGAAAAGCTGCTTAGGATTCCTTTGTTATAGAGTTTAGGGAAATTCTGGCAGAACTGCTTTTCATTGCAACACAACAGCTATGATTATCACCAGGAAGCAGAAACATCATGGAGTATTACAAAATCCTGCTGATTTGCAAAAAGATAAAGTACAATCCAGCCCAAGTGGTGATTAATATGTTAGCAGGGAAGACAGGAGATGGAATGATAAATAATTTTTATGTTTTAAGTTAAATGTTTCAGTCTTTGTGACATATTTAATTCTTGACTTTGGGAAGAATTATACAGTGATTTAGCTCCTTAAACCCAGGAAGAAAAGCCTAGCTTAGCTGCTAACTGAGGATAAGAAATGGGTCGAAAGCATTTATGTTTAAGGTTTCTCAAACAAGGAAACAGAACCCATGAATCTATGGCCCTTAGTTCAGAAAGTATCTCTGGATTAATTCTGGTAGATTCATCATAAGTCATCATGTTTTCTGGGTACACCCATGAACATAAATGTAATTTAAGTTCAGTAAG